GATTTCTGCTCAGGTCATGATCTCAGGGTCCACATCCAGCTCTGAGCTCAGCAGGGAGTCTGCTTGAGATTCTCTCTCTCCCTCTGCTCCTCACCCCACCTTCCGCACCTGTGCTTATGTTCTCTCTGTCTCCCCTCTCTAATAAATAAAACTATAAAAATCAGATAAAATAAAAAATTAGTAGATATTCTGCAGCACTTTTTGTTAAGTGAGGTATTTTTTGTATTTTTAAATGATATTCCACTAATACTTTTCTTCCTTGAAATGTCACTTTACATAACTAAGTTAAAATTTTGATTTTCATGTTCTATGAAGAGTACCTTAGAGTCTGCGCTACAGCTCACATCCTGAATTAGAGGTTGCAAAGAACTAATAATAAGGTATAGTCACTGTGAGAAAAAGTCCATGTTAAACTACTCTAAAAGTTACAAACTGAAAAATGTATGATTCTAATGTTTATTTTGGTCTGCTACATTTATGTTCCACTCAAGTTCAGCCATGCAAAGATTTAAAAGAATACTCTGTCCAAGGCACTGGTGTGCTATAAATATGTACAAAGCTGGGCAAGGTAGTCTAGATGAAGAGACAGGGAGAAAAGAAAATGTGTTTGGCAAACTTGTTTCAATCTCATCTACCAGAGTTAACAAAAGATGTTGGGAAATTTCAGGCAATGAAGGTAGAGTGAAAATATGTGATTTATAACCGTTAGATGAGAAATAAGAGTCAGTTCTTGCTAAAACAACCAAGAAAGGTGAAGCATTAGTAAAGAAAATTCACCTAAATTTCTTTAAACTTATATTATGTTACATTATTACAGAGAAGTCTATACTTTGTAATATCATGTTTTATATATCCTAATTTTTTTGTATATAAGATTAAAGTATTCTATCATTAAGATAATAAGTTATAAACTTATTTTCTCGGGAGTAGCTAGGGATGCTTGGAAACTTAGTAATACTTTAAAAATTTTATTGAAGTATAGTTGACATATAACGTCATATTAGTTTCAGGTGTACAACACAGCAATGTGACAGTTCCATATTTTACACAGTGCTCACCACTCTAAGTATAGTTACCATTTGTCACCATAAACATTATAGTAATACTTTTTTGATTGATCACTTTTGCAACCAATTTTTTAAGTCAGGATTGGCGGAATAAAACTAAAGTCCATAGCCTTGTTTGCAAAAGGCTATGGTAGATGTTAATAGTGCAATTTTATAAATGTAGCTCTCTTACTTGTTTTTCAAAATGTAGTTATTACATTTTAGCCTCACTTCTGCCTCTCTTGGCTATTAAATGCTAAGTTTACTAAACATATCCACAGGTTATATCCATCAGTTATACCCTTAGGCCAAACAAAAGAGGTCACCTAACTCACTTTTGGTCCCTTGGGTAATTTACTCAGGTCCCATTATCTGACCTCAAAGTCAAGTTTGTGAGAGAAAAACACAAACAATGTAAATCCCAGCAGTTTGGAGGTGAATTAAAAAGCTCCCAAGTCAGTACTTCGCTCAAATGTTAAATAATTCACTGTGGCATTATAGATACAAGCCTCCAGCAAAAGTAACACTTGAACAATTAAGGAAGCAAGAGCCAAACAAATGACTTCAGGGGTAGAGAAACAAATTAATGGTTTCTCAGAGTACTGTGCCAAATTACAGTTTCACATTAACAAGTGTGTAAAATACCCAAACAGCACCAATGACTTACTAGATCAAGTTTGATAATGGAAAATAGCCTGGAACAACACACCAGGATTATTTGTTAAACTTAATTATGGATTCTGTACACTTGGGTATGAAACCCATTTATATTATTTATAAAGTTTTTATATTCATAATGTACCACCTACTCTTTTGCAAAGTTCTTTTACAATTATTCCAAATAATCATGTCAAATATTATATTCTTTTTTTTAAATTTTTATTTATTTATGATAGTCACAGAGACAGAGAGAGAGAGAGAGGCAGAGACACAGGCAGAGGGAGAAGCAGGCTCCATGCACCGGGAGCCCGACGTGGGATTCGATCCCGGGTCTCCAGGATCATGCCCTGGGCCAAAGGCAGGCGCCAAACCGCTGCGCCACCCAGGGATCCCCAAATATTATATTCTTATAAAGGATCAGAAAGTGATGCACCTGTTTCTTAGTGGCTAGATAAGAAATTCGAAACACAAGATCACATCACAACACTGTGTACATACGGATACCAGGACCCACGCAACAGAAAGGTACACACTGTATCACTTACCAACTAGAAGACTTTAGACAATTCTTAATCTCAGTATTAGCTTCTTTTTTTTTTTTTTTTTTTTTTTTTTTTTAGTATTAGCTTCTTTTTATGCAAAATGGGGATAATTCCTTTTATGCAACAAATATTTATTGAACATCTATAATGCATCAAATAGTACTTTCCAAAGGTTGTTTTTATTTTAGGATTAGAGATAATAAAAACATAGCTGGTGTTCATTAGAGGTATGTAGGGTTACCCAATTGCATGAGCAGAGGTCTGACTGACTAAATATTCACCAAAGTAGGCAGGCTGAAAATCAACAGTTCCTAAGGGAAATAGAGATACATAGGACATAGGGTGATATGAGATCCATTTGCTTTCCAAAAACAAGGTTATTGGTATTCATTATAGATCTTTATGTATTTTCTCTAGTTAAATCAACCAAACTCAGTCAAGGGCTTTCTCATAATATGGTAGTTTTGAGCTCTAATTTGAACAGGTTGGGGGGAAGGATGCAGACATATAAAAGATTTGCCAATTTGCTTTTCCATTTAGAAGTTTTTCAAAGACATACTTACAAGAAGATGACCTTCCTTCGAATACTAATTTAATGGATAGTCCAACCTATATGGAAAATAAGTTCTTTGAATCAGACTAGAAAAGCAGAATGGAATCAAGAGAAAAACATATGAAATTTGGAAGGAAAAGAACTGTAGTTGGATCCTCAACTTGTCTCAACTGCCAGTTGTGCCACCTTGAAAAAAAAATCTCAAGATTTTTGGATCTCAGTTTGCTCAAGAGTAAAATAAGTATAACGACAACTCTTATCTACAGCATTTCTGTAAGGATCAAATGAGATAACTGTAATAAAAATTCTCAGTAACCTACAAAACACTAAACAAATATAAATTATTTGAGAGTGAGTAGGAACTGCAAACAATCCCAAGGCATCCTTTCTAGTGAAGACATTTGCATGGGTAAATGGTAAAAGGTCTCAAAATTATCCTGGCTGGAGGAAGAGTCATCTCAGCCACGACAATAATAATTTTACTCATTAATGAGGAAGGATGACTAGACTTCGTAGCTGGAAAACAACAGCAGTCATCTCTAAATATTATATAAGAAAAAATGCATGGATAAGATTACTAGGAATAAAAAAACCCCCTAGGATATGGATTAATTTTTAAAGCAAATATAGGGATCCCTGGGTGGTGCAGCAGTTTAGCGCCTGCCTTTGGCCCAGGGCGCGATCCTGGAGACCCGGGATCGAATCCCACATCGGGCTCCCGGTTCATGGAGCCTGCTTCTCCCTCTGCCTATGTCTCTGCCTCTCTCTCTCTCTCTCTTGTGTGTGTGACTATCATAAATAAAAATAATAAAGCTTTAAAAAAATAAATAAAGCAAATATAGAAGATATATTAGCCATAAGTCAAATTTTCTAGAAATGCTTCCTTTTGTGAGGAAAATTTCCTTGTCACACATGTTTTTATTTTCACATGCCAAAGTCCACCTGCATAGGCCAAACAGAGGCTCTACAGAGGCTTTTAACACAATGTCAAATACAATACTAAGTTAGTTATTGTTGATACACTGTTACTAAAAAATATGCACTGATTTAAAAAAACTGAAAATTTTAAGTTTGTTTTATATTAAGCAAAAATGACATACTCACAAATTTGATTTTCAGTCTAAATGTGTAGGAGAAAAAAATTTTTTTGTAAAGATTTTATTCATTTGAGAGAGACAGTGAGTGAAAGAGAAAGAGGATAAGCAGGAGAGGGAGAGAGAGAAGCAGACTCCCTGCTGAGCAAGGAGCCTGACATGGGATTCAATCCCGATGTTATTTGGTGATGATGGTGGTAAGGGAGAGTGGCTCATGACCTGAGCCGAAGGCAGATGCTTAACTGACTGAGCCACCCAAGTGCCCGAGAAAAAATGTCTTGTTCTAGTAAGTTTAGTAAAAATCTCTTCACCATAAAAATAAGCATAATAAAATAAATGACACAGCACTGAAGTACACTATTTCTCCTAAAATGATAGTTACATTGTTATTTTATAATTAGCTATCATTTTGAATAGATTTAAAAATCATATATCCTGAACTAAGTCTCTATAGAGATATAATGACACCATGATGGTAAAGAAGGGGTAGTAACGAATAGAAAAAAAAATTTTTTTTTAAGATTTTATGTATTTATTTATGAGAGACACAGAGACAGAGGCAGAGACCTGGGCAGAGGAAGAAGTATGCTCGCAGAAGCCTGATGCAGGACTCAATTCCAGACCTCGGGATCATACCCTGGGCCGAAGGCAGACACTCAACTGCTGAGCTACCCAGGCATCCCTGAATAGAAAATTTTAAATGCCCAGAAAAGAATGAAAGTTTTCAACACAAATGTATAGGGAAATTTACCAGTTATGTATGGAGCTGTAAAGTCTATCAGACTTGTTAAGAACAATAAAAATACATTTAAAAGGGGTGGGTGCCTGGCTGGCTCAGTCAGAAAAGTGTGTGACTCTTGATCTTGGATCATGAGTTCAAATCCTATACTGGGAGTAGAGATTATTCAAACAAACAAACAAACAAACAAACACACTTTTAAAAAAAGAACAGAACAATAAAAATACATTTTTAACTTAAAAAATATATTAATTTATCCTTGAATCCAAGAATGACAAAGAACTAAGTAGTGATTTCCATTGACTACTGTTCAGTAAAAGGAAACACAATTTAGAAAGTGATGTCAAATGTCTAAGTTTTTCTTACCATGAATAGATCCCACTGACCATGTCATAGTTCTGACATGAAGCATTCATGCTGCTGGGCCCAGCTGCTTTAGAAATAAGTAGCACCACCAAGCCCCTCAACTGGAGGTTTTGCCGGCTATCATGTACCAGCCCCCTGCCAACAAAGAAAGAAGAGGGTTAATATATTCTCACAGAATTAGATCAAGTTAGGAAATTGCTACAATTCACTCAGACTTCCAAAGTCAGAGAAAGACTTGTTGAAAGAAACAGAAGTGGGGAAAGAGCAAGCTAACAGGAGAAAGCAATGAGTTCAGTTAACAACCAGAGAAACCCATGGCTGCTTTTAAAAGTGACAGTCTCCAACTGTGAGGCCTCATGATCTGGTTTCCTCCTCTTTCTGCATTTTCCTATGCTCTATACCCTACACCTCACAATGTCAACAGCTTGCTCAACCCATAGTTTTAAACTGCTGTGTGGTATAGCTGATAGTAACTGAAATACAAATTGTATGGCTTGGAGGTAATGATGTTATTTGGTGATGATGGTGGTAAGGGAGAGTGATAAAAAATGATTTCTGCCTTCACAGGTAGAGAAAATGCTCAGAGAATTAAAGTGACAAATCCAAATGACTTAAAAATTTATTTGATAAGTGATATGGAAATGTATGCCATCAGCAAGTCTTGCCATCTCCTATTATTTATGGAAAGCATTATCATTCTAGACAACAATATGGCTTTAACTTAGCATGTCATTTTACTTTTGCGATGAGTATTGAATTTTCATAATTCCTACTATAACTAAGGCCAGGAATACATTGGTTTTTTTTTTTTTTTCTCAAAGTACTGCAAATGGTTGTCATATAAGAACTAAATGACATCGAAAGAGAGAGAGAGAGGGAGAGAGAAAGAAAGAAAACAAACTATGGGCAATGTATTATAATAAATTAACATTTAGAACAATGCTCATGAGCACTAATCAAATAGATATGCATACATAAATAACAAATATAGTTCTTGAATGTAGTAAAAAAATCATTAAAATTTGTATCATACTTCATTAAATTATTAAGCCTTTCTTGGTAAATTCTGAATAAGGAATTAAATGAATTAAGCTAACATAGCCAAAATTAATGAGTTAGTTCACTACTTAAGAAAAATCTTTGCCCCTCAATGCTTCCAAAAAGAAATTTTAAAAAGAGCCCCTCTGTACCCTCATTGGTTTCAAAATAAGGCAGATCTTGAGGCTCTCTGCAAAGGAACAGATAAAGCTCTTTCTCTAATTATATTTTCCCCTCAATCCTCTAAGTGATCGTCAGCAGGTTTGAGGGGTTAGTAATTTTTAAAAAGAAGTTCTAATTTTCTAGGAAAAAGAGGCTAATCTATAGTAATTAAATTATATCACAAGAGAAACAAATAATCATCAGAAATATCCAAAGCTTTTCATGGTCATGTAGCTTTCTAGTTAGGCCCTGTAGACCTGAACTGCAGAGAGGCTGGGAAGGACTCTATTTTGGACCAAGTAAAAAAAATGGGAACAGGAGCACTTTCTAAGTTTTTTACTCTGAATTACAAATTTTAACTTTTGCTGCTAGACCTTATTAATGTATCGCCTAAGGTGAATCTTTACTCATCCTGTTTTAGATAATAATATTAAAGAGAAGGTCTGAATTGGCTCTTTAAAAAAAAAAAAAAAGACTTTATTGGGATGCCTGGGTAGCTTTGTGATTGAGCCTCTGCCTTTGGCTCAGGTGCTGGTCCTGGGGTCCTGGGATCGAGTCTCTCATCGGGCTCCCTGCATGGAGCCTGCTTCTCCCTCTGCCTGTGTCTCTGCCTCTCTCTGTGTCTCTCGTGAATAAATAAATAAATAATCTTAAAAATATATTTTATTTATCTATTTGAGAGAAAGAGAAAGCACGAGGGAGAGGGAGAAGCAGGCTCCCCGTTGAGCAGAGTCCAATATGTGCTGACTCCCAGGACTCCTGGGATCATGACCTGAGCCGAAGGCAGATGCTTAATCACTAAGCCACCCAGGCGCCCCATGAATTGGTTCTTAATTCTATAAAGGGAAAAGAGGAAGGTGAGGTTGTGTGTATGCATGTGTTTTGGAGGTTGAGCCTGGTTAGGGATGAAGGATTTGATGACACAGTAAGAACTCCAAGAGGCATGAAACTTGAGAAAAGTCTGACTCCATCATGCTGATGAAACAGCTCTGGCAACAGTTTTGACATCTTCCTCAGAGTTCTCAAGAGATGAGACCTTTCACAGGAGACACACGTACAAATGAAGAAGAACAGCAACAACACCAGGAAATCCTTAAATAGTGCTTCACACATGCCAGGAGCCATTCTAAGGATTTACTAAATATTAACTAAATTAATTCACAGCAACTCTAAGAGGGAGGTCCCACGATTATCCTGATTTTGCAGATGAATGAGGAGAATGAGGCATACAGAGAGATCAAGCAACTTGCTCATTGCTGGAAGGCAGTAGGGCCGTGACAACCAACAACAGTTGGTTCAGAGCCAACATCTGAACCCAGGCCAACTGGCTCTAGAATCTATTTACACGCTTAACCATTATGCTATAGTGACCCTCGAATCTGCTTCATCTCATGTACAAAACTATTTGCGAGGTAAAATTGAAGAGTGCAGCTTTAGAAACAGGTTTTCAAAAGAATCCTTTTCCCATTCGCTAGTTGTATGACTTGGAGACTATTACCTCCTCTATAAAATAAGGTTAATAACGTCTACTTTTTTTTTTTAAGATTTTATTTATTTATTTGAGAGAGAAAGAGCACGAGGGAAGGGGAAGGGAAGGAAGGAGAGAGAGAGAGGAGCAGACTCCCCACTAAGCAGGGGGTCAATGCAATTTGGGGCTTAATCCCAGGACCCTGAGATCATGACCGAGCTGAAGGCATTTAACCGAATGTGCCACTGAGGTGCTCCAACAATCTCTACTTTCCATTGTCATTTTGTGGAAGAGGCAACAAGAGTAAATAAAGTAAATAACACTGTGGAAGCACATGGTAGGTGATCACGTAATCAGAAAATTACATTCTGTCCCTATTACTTTTTTGTCACCTATTTTTTTCTCAACTTGTATTTTTTTTCTTTCTTCTAGTTCATTTCTCCTCCTATCCCTATCTCTCAAAGTCTAGCCCACTCTACCAGCATACATAATCTATAAATTTCCTTTTCTACCTCCCAAAATAACAAAAGTTAAGGAATTCTTCCCACACACCCCACCTCCTGCAAACATCATCATACGTCACTGAAACACTTGCCACTTTCAGAATGCATTCCAAAAAGGTCAGGAAGAGAAACTGTAGTGGACTGGCTGACGGAAATCAAGAGAACAGTCAGAAGAGCACATCTTCTGACAGCGGTTCACAACACAGAAAACAGATTGACAGCTTAAGTAAATTAAAAGAACTGCTTCCAAACACCACTTCTTTAAATTTACTTCATTAACACCCTTAAAAAAACAGTACCAAAATAAACTGATAATGTCCCCAGCTCAAAAATCAGCTCGCAACCAAAAGAGAATATGAAATTTTGCTTCTGAGCATAAAAAGAAATCCCTAGGATTCTATATTATATAGCTAAGATGTTTCATATAGTCCAGGCTGTACTTGGCCCAAAACAGCATGAGTTCTCAGTGCCTCTGAGGGTGAAATCCTACACTGCCATATGCATGCCTGAAGAAAAAGCTATGGATGCTAGCTTGGAGAACAGCTAAGTTGGTGTTCTTGGCAAGCTAAATTGGTCCAAGCAAAAATGTAGCGAATGCTTATTGTATGGTAGGCATGGTGTAAACAAGAGTGGATGACATGATGAGCACTGGTGAGCTGTGGTCTTCCTTCTTGTGGATAATACAGTCTGGATTAAAAATCCCAATGAAATATGGCATGGGATATACAAGGGCTGTGGCAGCATAAAGAAGGGCAACTAACTAGAGGCAAAGAGAGGTGAAAGAGACCTCCCTGAGACCTAAAGGATGAGGAAGTAGCCAGGGGAGCCAAAGCTGGGAGGGAAGTGAAGGGGGGAAAAAAGTGTTCCAAAGAAGAAACAATAAGGGCAAAGGTTCGAAGGAAAGACAGGAGGACACGGCTATTTCCAGAACCAAAATTGCAGGAGCACAGTGTGTGAATGGAAGAATTGGGTGAAATGAAAGCTAGAGGAACACCTGAGAGCAGTCTTTTCGTCTGAAAGGGCTCCATCTTGGTAGGAGATAGAGTTACTGCAGAAACTGACACTACTGGATAAAAATATGAAAATACAGCAGGCCAATTGTGACTTAACATGAAGAAATTAAAAGACAAAGTGCCCTCTGGTGATGCTAAGTCTCCTTGTTAACAGAGATGTTTGGGAACGTGCACAGCCTCTGACATATGCATTGACGAGAAGCCGGGACTATTTGACATCTGAAGTTTTTTCTTACTCTGATTCTTTATGATCTCACCTCACTTATCTAATTACCTAATACTCTACAATAGGTATAACAGGCACAAAAATTAGAACAATCCTTTATTGTCATCAAAATTACAGTGTCATGAATGAAAGCAATATTTAGTACCTTGTCATCTTCACCATTGAAGTTCTACAGAATTGTGTTCCTTTTAGCTAAGGTAAACTAAAACTTCATACAGAGTGAATACCTTCTATAAATTAGTCACTGTGCTAGCTACAGATACAAGTGTGAGCAAAACCAGGCATGGGGCTTGTGGGGCTTGCTGGTGGAAGAGACTGGAAATAATGAAAGAATCACAAAGAAATGTAAAATTATAATGGCAATAAAGGCCACAAACATAAACACTGTGAGTGTTTATAACAGGGGAACTGACCTAGTGAGGAAAGTCAGAGGCTTCCTTGAGGAAGTGATGACAGAGTTGACAGCCAAAGGAAGAATAGATATAAAAGGGGTTAGTGGGAAGAGAACAGACAAGAGTATATCTGCAGCAAAAATATAGGCATAGGTGAGGCTGAGGGCGCTGCACAAAGTGAGGCTGGAGACAGAAAGGACTAGACCACACAGGTCGGAAGGCCATGTAAGACTTCTGCTTTTTACCCAAAGAGCAGCGTGAAGCCACTGTAGTTTTTATTAAGCAGCTGATGACATAATCAGATATTTTATTTTATTTTAAAGATTTTATTTA